TATTCCATCACCACAGGCCTGCCTATCATTAAAATTATATTACTAAAGGTGTGATGTTCTTACTATTAGATCCTTTGATTAGAATATAATTGTGATAGACCATGTAAGACATTTGAGGAACATACACTGGTAAACATGTACACACACATTTGTTAATTTTTCTTAAAGAATCGTATTCTTTCATATAACAATAAATTGTATGCATTGCCTTTGTAATTGGAAGGAATTCATATTGTAATTTTTATTTGGCCTGCAAGGACATATACATATTAGTTTACACTTAATATTATTTTAAAACAATATGTTAGCTTAAGTTAATATGGCAAGATTTCTTGCCATATTTAAGATATGTTTTCATTTTAAAGTAATATTATTTTGGCTTCTGGTGTGAGATATGGCTGACTGAACACGTCTCAGGAAATGAGCAGAGACAATGACTGCTGTGAAGAATGACAAAGTGAAGATAGACTGGTCTTTTAAATTTCTCCGGAGAAGGAAAAATTGGGAGATCACCCACAAGTGCTCTGAATAGCAGCTCTTAGTGAGGAGACCATAAAACAGCCATCTCCTGTGGGATTGGGTGTCAGCAACCAAGGAAAATTACATCTTTGCTCACTGCAGTAGCAAAGCTTTAATAAGGACTCTAAGCCAGCCAAACACGCTTTCTAATAATGTTCAGGAAACTCAGTTTAACCATTTTATGGATATATAGTGAAGAGACAGTTTGGTCTAGTGGTTAAGGCTAGAAACTAGGAGTTAGTGAGTTTTAAACCTGTCTTAGGCATGAAAACTGGCTGGGTGACTTTGGGCCAGTTAGTCCCTCAGCTAAATCTACCTCACAATTTTTTTGTTGTGGGGAAAATTAAACAATATTTGGAAATGTCTAAAATGGAACTAAAGCCATATTAGGAACTGAAGCTTGCTGAAGGTTCAGATGGATACTAGAGGGAACCAACAGACCAGGCAGAAAAGCTATAACTTTTTCTTATCTTATAGAAGTTTTTGAAAACTGGGCTGAGGTATTAATAATATCTCAGAAGGATTAAGATTTCAGAGGATAAACTTTTACAAAATGATGAGGAAAAATTTAAAACATGTTTGCATGACATATAGTTTGAAGACGCAGAAGACAATGAAGTTGAGATTACCAAAATGGGATTTCAAAAAACAAATCAAGAAAAGGTCTTGACAAGGCCTCTTTAAGAAGCTTTGAAAATGCCAAAGACTACCATTGGAATGATTTAAAGGTCAAGATTGTGAAGAAAAAATGGAAGGGATATAAAGTTGGACTATTTGATCAGGATAAATTGTTTGTTTGATATTTCTGGAATCTCCTAATGGACGTTTTGTTGAACTGGGATTGAAAAGATGGTGATTTCTGGATTGCAAATAGACAAAAACTTTAGACTACTGCAAGAGTAGTTCTTTTATTTTTACTTTTTAAAGAGTGTATTAACTTATGCCCGGCATTAGTCATCATGAAAAATCTTACTTTGATAAAACGAAATTTCTAAGTAAAGCTTGAAACTTGAACTTTTTTAAAACCAGATATATTAAATCAACCATATTTAATTATTGGGGAAGATTTTAAAACCACATCACCAAAAGGAATACAGCATATCTCCCTTTCATTGCGTTTATTAATTCAGGCATTTCAAACAAAATCTTCACCAGTTTAGAAAGGCAAAATAAGTGGTTTAGAATGTACTTTATATGAAAAGTTTTAAAGAGCTCATCACAAATTCTTTTTGTACATGTGTAGTGAGTTGTAATGGGTTAGAACAGGGGTGTTAAACTTGATTTCACTGAGGGCTGCATCAGGATTGTGTTTGACTTGGGGGGTGGGGGCACATGGCCAGAGTGGGCATGGCCAGCTTGATGTCAATTGTTGAGGTCCCATTTTCAGCCATGACGTCCTCCTGCAGCTCTCTGCCAACAAAAACGGAGCTCAGGGGGGCCACAAACGCCCCCCACCGAATTCCGTTTTCACTGACAGAGGGCTGCAGGAGGCTGTCATGGCTGAAAAAGCCTGGGAGGGCTGCGTGTGACCCTCCCGAGCTTTGTTTTTGCTGGCAGAGGCACCGTGGGCTGGTCCTTTGCTGTTCCAGGGTGGCCCCGTGGCTCAGATCTGAGCACCCCACAGACTGAATCCAGCCTGCGGGTCTTGAGTTTGACACCCCTGGCTTAGAATAACGGTCTCCAACCTTTCCAGCTCCATGGACCAGCAGCAGCAGCAGCAGGGAAAGGGAGAGGGGATGGTTTCACATGCATGCTTGCGTAAATGGAGCTTTGCACGTTCATGGACCCGCCTGCTGCTTGTGCTTCCTGGTTTCCCAATGGGCTGCAGCCCAGTACCAGGCTGTGGACTGGAGTTTGGGGATATATGCCGATGGTTCTTAAAATACCCCCAGATAATCCATTGCTGCTACAGGGTGAGAAGGGTAAATTTTAAAAGACTTGCTTCAGTGTAATCTATAAAAGACATAGATAATGATATAGTAGTTCAGATAAAAGAAAAATGGCAATGACTATTCTGTGCAAAATACCTTTCCTGTATGTGACTGATATTTCTCTGTTTTTAAATATGCAAATTAAAAGACATTTTACTATGATAAATATCAAATTGCCAAAGTTGAACATGTGTCACGTCCCTGGATGAACTTCAGTCCCCTTGTGTAAAGCCCCTTGGAGACTGCTGAGTTTATCAGGGCCGTAGAAGTGAAGTGAAGCAGCTTGTGATTTCCAGCAAGACTTTTTCTTAACAATCTCCTTGGGACAATGTTTGATACAGAAATTTCAGTGGTATTTAGGGAGAAAACAAGTCTAAGAGTTAAGCATCTCAGAGGGCAAATATTTGCATAATATTTGCATATTTACCCAAGGCTAGCTTATGTTGTGTATACACACACAGATGTACACATAAACACGGCTAGTATCTTCTGCAGTTCTTCAAGGTTATCAGAGAGTTTCATGAAAAGAGAACCCATTTTTGTGTGAGAAGACTGATCTAATGGCAGGATTTCCCCCCCGCCCCCCTTTTCAAGGCAAACAATTGTCTTCAAATAAATTTAGCATAATTTTGAAGTGAATCCCAGCCTGGGAGTGGCTATACAATCATTTGCTGAGATGTCCCTTCTGACTATCAACTGTTAACCTGAACAACAAAGCTAAACCCTGGCGCTGAAAGTAGAAGCTCCTATGAATATTGTCTTACAGTCTCTAAGCTCTCTCTCAATTTTTAAGCAAACCTGACTGCAATAGGAGAGAGAGAGAGAGAGAGAGAGAGACGTACCTGAGGGAGGCTCTGCTGGATTCACATTGTCATGGGAAATTCAAAAGTGGGCAGCACAGGACTGGGGGAGAGATAACCCCGTTTATTGTTGGGTACAAGAAACAGGAACTCTGTATGTAAAGCAAAGGATTTTATAGAAATTTGAAGTGGGTAATCCTAAGGATCTGATTTGTTGGAAGCTTTTGAAGAAATTAAACAGGTCCTGTTCCTTCAACATGAGGTTATTGCTGTTAGTCAAAACAACCCTTTCAGGAGAGCAGCAGAACTGGAGAAGTCCAGGGTTACGTTGGTGGAATCTTTAGATAGTCAGAGGAGTATCCTTGATTGAGGATGGACCATTGGTTCCATTATGTTGCAATTACTCCGCGAAGGCTCCGGTTAGGTCATACTGTGAGGTCGTGAGGAGGCTTCTATTTTGTTTAGATGGGACTACAGTAGACTGTCTGGGGGGTCAGTTTGGGTTTGATAGAATTAGATAAAGACAGGAGCTGGATTTAACCTGGTCATGTCCAAAAGACAGGGAGGAAAACGGGTGCAGCCTCTGTTTTATATGTTACATTTATTTTCTCCACCAGACACATTTCTCTGTGATCTGCTGAAAGATCCAAGCACTACAGGAAGAATGTAGCCCCGAAAGTAATAATTATGTGCCAAAAATTCACACCCAGCAGTCCAAGACAAATGTCTAGCAGTCCAAGACACATGTAAGTGGAGGGGAGAGAGTGGCCTGTTTACTAGCCAGTTGGGAGAGGAGGCAGTACCTACCCTTGACATGAAGTACTGCTAACTGCCTATTCAATAACATCCCTTCTGCTGGTTAAGAACAGAAAATACAACTTTTGACATGAAGCAAGAGGAAGATGGATGCAAAGTGCCCTTTTGCTGGGCTGGAAGTGGAAAGAGGATAATGTCATGCATTTGTGTCCCTGGGAAATGGCTATAGGATGTCTTTAAGCCAGGTCACCTGGGACATGCAGATAATCTCACTGGTTAAATGGGGGAAAGAAGAAACATGCTACTTCACATATAGATACAACATGGTACTTTACACAGAAGAAAATACCAGGGGCCCCCAAAGGGCATTGTTGAACAGAATTGCGGAAACCATGATCTGTAGGCTTTCTGTACCTTATGGTGGTGGCGCAGTGGTTAGAATGCAGTACTGCAGGCTACTTCTGCTGCCTGCTGGCTGCCTGCAATTTGGCAGTTCAAATTTCACCAGGCTCAAGGTTGACTCAGCCTTCTGTCCTTCTGAAGTGGGTCAAATGAGGGCCCAGATTGTTGGTGGCAATACGCTGACTCTGTAAACTGCTTAGAGAGGGCTGTAAAAGCACTGCTAATAGTATCCAAATACTATTGCTATTTTCATTCTAAAATATGAGTTTTCAAGTTTGGAAACTGGCAGGAAATGTTTATCATCGTAGAGACAGCAAGCCCTCCAAAAAGGTGACCGAAAATTGAAATTTTTCCTTTTGCCTCATTATCCTTTTGGCTTCCGTCTTTGAGCAGGATGTTTCTGAAATATTTGTCCACAATTCTAAAGGCCAGCTGTGTGTGAAATTAAACCCTTTATTTTTATGAGCTATTCTACACTCCACTGATTTGCTTTTGGCCATGTTTGATTCTCTGAAGTGCTTTTTTTTTGTCCTATAAAGCACTACCTTCTCTTTTCTACTTGATTCTGACAGACTTGTGGTCTCTCTTTCAGGAAGCTACTTTGCCAGTCACTTCATCATGGGAGGTGAGAAGTTTGACTCTACACACCCTGAAGGCTACCTCTTTGGGGAGAACAGTGACCTCAACTTTCTTGGGAACAGACCTGTACCGGTAAGAAAAGCTCTGGCTTGTCCTTTTGTGTGTGTGTGTGTGTGTGTGTGTGTGTGTGTGTGTGTGTGTGTGTACACATATGCGGTTGGTTTGGAGTTGTGAAACAGCCACTTAAAGTTTGAAACTGATTGTTCCAATCTTACTGGAAATGCTTTGATCTTTTTCTGCATACATCAAAAGGGTTCTGAATTTAAACCGACCCCCTTTCAGGCTTAAAACAAGGTTGTTTCTGTCTCAGAACATATCCGGAATGGCTTTAACAACTTGTTTGAAGCTCTGTTTGTTTCAGATTGGGAAACTTTTGTACAATCCTGGAATGCACTATTCCTTTTTGTTAACAGAAAAATGGAAGGATTTAAAGATGTGCAACTGCTGATAGAAAGTTAATGTGTACAGGTAGTCCTCAACTTACAACTGTTTCTTTAGTGACTGTTCAAAGTTACAAGACCATATTTCACACTTACGACCGTCGCAGCATCCCCGTGGTCACATGATCAAAATTCAGATGCTTGGCAACAGGATCATATTCATAATGGTTGCAGTGTTTTGAGGTCATGTGATCCCATTTTGCAACTTTCTGAAAGCAGAGTCAATGAGGAAAATAAATTCACTTAACAACTGAGTTACTAACAATAGCTGTAGTGACTAACTTAACAACTATGGCAAGAAAAGTCATAAAATGTGGCAAAACTCACTTAAATGTCTCACTTAGCAACATAAATTTTGGGCTCAATTGTGGTCGTAAGTCGAGGCCTGTTGGCCTATTGTGAGGAATGAGTGTTTTGTCAAAAGAAGTTAAAATAGCTGTGTATAAGAGTCTACTTCTGCTTATTTGTTACATGTAGTTGATAATTAAAGTATGACGGAATCTAAAAGAATGCTGAATGCAGTCAAAATGGATTACTTTGGATATGTATGTGATAAACCAAGAAAAGATAGGCTCAATGAATGGATGCTGAATGATTATAAACTGAATACACAAGAGAGCAACCAGTATGAAAGACATATAATGAGATGGTCATATAGAATGTACAAAGAGGATTTGACTACAAAATATGTATGAAAGAAGAATGAAAGGGGATTGCAAAGAGAGGGGAGATTGAGAAAATTGTGAATGGATGAATCAGAGGAGGAAATTCATACCCACAAAACTTTAGAGCCTCCATGATTGTATAGAATCTGAGTGCCTTTACTTATCCAGTTAAGGCTAATTTAGAATAGTGGTTAAGGCATCAGGCTAGAAACTGGAAGATTGTGAGTTCTAGGCCCACATTAGGCATGAAGTTATGTGGGTGACCTTGGACCAATTCCTTTTTCTCAGCCTTAGGAAGTAGGCAATGGCAAAACCATTTCCGAAAAGCCTTGCTAATACAAATTCAAGGACCTGTCCAGGCAGTCGCCAGAAGTCAAAAACCAACTTGAAGCCACATACATCCCTGCACTCACAAAAGAGGTGCTAAGCAATTCGATACTGCCTGTATCACACAATTATAAACTCCTCAGTTTAAACACAGAGAGTTCTCACTTAGCAATCACAATCTGGACAAACAACTTGGTTGTTAAGGAAAGCAGTCACTACGTGAAACCGCAAAGATGCTTATGAGCTTACTTCAGTCTTTCTTTGTTTTACAGACTAGCAAAGTTTGTGAGTGTAATGATTAGATACAAGTTGATTTTTCTATCACGATCGTAACTGTGAACAATTATTAACAAAGCAGTCACTAAATGTGGATCACCCGTACATAGATGTATCTCCCCTCCTTGCCTTTTAAGAGAAGTCAGATATTTTAATATAGAGCGTTCCAGAGAAACTCCCCCACCCGCTTATCCTTGTCTTCCATCATTCCTCTGTAGCTTATCTGCGTCTGGGTTTGTTGGTTTAAAGAAGGAAAGTCCCAGACTCCAACCCCAAGTAAAAGCTCACTTGATTGCCTATTAGCTACAGCAAAGCATTAGATGTCAGGCCCTGCTACAGACCTCTGGGGTGTGTGTGAGATGTTAATTATGGACGGAAGGGCTTTTTCTCCTCCTCCTTCTCTGCTGCATTCAGAACAGTATCCTTGGGGGCTGGAATAAAGAACACAAGTTGAGTTTCTGCAGACTCCTGAAGCGTTTCTGCGTGTGATGGATGTGTATGTAAGGAGCTTTTCCATTCAGTAATAAGAAAAAGGAAAAAATAATAATTCAATGCCCAAAGAAGCTGAGGGTATATAGAAAGAAGAAAATATAATGGCATCATGCAGTCAAACATAAAGTATGCTGGGCCCGCTTTGATGTCTCTGATCATGGTCAACATCGATATCAGAGAAAGAGCAATGACATATTTTCATGGTTGTCCATTACCTTCATCATTCATCTTAGATGATAAAGCATTTTATGAGGAGTTTATTCAAAGCTCCCTGACATGCTCAAGGCTTTATAACTCCCTGTTTTTAAAGTCTGCTTTGCTTCTGGTGTGAGGAATTGGGGCACCTGCTTTAAAAGCCTATTGTAGCAGTAATTCATAATACTTTTCTATAGCACTTTCATGTTCAATGTGTTTTATATAATCCAGCTCCCTCAAAACAACCTATCAATATGCCCTGCATTGCAGAAGGGGGAAACTCGAGCTGACAGGGCATGATTTGTGAGGGTTACCTTGTGAGACCATAAAAGAGGCAGCCAGAATCCATAGGATGGCCAGCTCTCACTCCCCTGCAGGATTGGAGCTGACAATTACAGGCACCTTGCTTGATTTTCCAGTTTCAGACTCTGGTGAATCTTGATGAAGGTTCAGTAGGATTGGTAGTGGATCAGGGACAGGATTAGGAGGAAATGAATACAAGCTTAATTGTCATTCCATAGACAGCCCTCATTATAATCTTCTATAGTCTGAAAGATCCAAGAACCAGAATTCATAAGAATTTGAGATTGATTGCAGCCTGATGTGAATTAGATTCTTGGAAAGATCAATTTCACCACATGCATATTAGAGCCTTATGATATTCAGAGATTGGTTGATTGAGTAGAGGGAATATTTGAAACCTCTTTGAGAGGACTGGATGATGTCCACAGCCCTGAAGTGACCTTGAACTTTATGGTAGCTGTGATCTGGTCACAATTACTCTATTTGAAGAGATGCTTCTGATGATGGCTGAGCAACTACAGGAACATTTAGAGAAAGTATCCCAAATAACCCAGTGTTTCTCAATTGATGCCATGCAGAAGCCATCTATCTAAGCAAGATGAAGGCATACCTGCCAACTAGAGCAGAATGAGAGGGAAGGTTTCAGTCTAGTTGGAAGAGACTGCGATATTTTGGATTCTGAGAAAGAAAAAAGCTGATTCTTAAAATGCTTGTCCTTGTGAGGAGTAAGATGAAAATGACTGATTAGTCAGCAGAGAAGACCCAACATACACGAAGCTCCTTGTATTAGCATTAAGCACTGACCATATAAGCATTAGCTAGGCAGATTGGGTATCTCAGGCTTTTTAATAACTTAGTCTGCCTGGATGCTTTTCCTGCCCTTCTTTAGCTAAAACTTCACTTCTACAGCACTTTAAAAGTTTCTTTTCATTTCTGCCCTAGGAACTCTGTTGAATTTTTTTTTTTTGAACAAAAGACAGCTATGACTTTGTCAGAAGGCCATAAAAGGTGATCAAAGGATCCTGGGGTACTGCAACCACCTTGAATATGAGTCAGTTTCCAAGCATCTGAATTTTGAACACCTGACCATGGTGATACTGCAATGGTCATAAGTGTGAAAAACAGTGATCACTTTTTTCAGTGTCATTGTAACTTTGAATGGTCACTAAAAAAAACTGTTGTAAGTCAAGCACTACCTGTAAATGCATCTGTATTCCATAAAGGAAGACATAGTTCCAGGGTAAAAGCAAGAAAATAATATCTTTTCCGGACCCATTCCAAAAGTGATTTTCATGTAAATTAATAAAAATAATCAAGTAGGATTATACTGTAAACATGTATACATTTGTTTTTCAAAATTTCTTACACCTTTAAACTGCATTTCACATTGAGAGCAAATAATAGCAATAGCACTTAGTCTTATATGCCACTTTATAGTGCTTTTACAGCCCTCTCTAAGTGGTTTACAGAGTCAGCATATTGCCTCTAACAATTTTGGGTCCTCATTTTACTCACCTCGGAAGGATGGAAGGCTGAGTCAACCTTGAGCCTGGTGGGATTTGAACTGCCAAATTGTAGGCAGCCGGCAGTCATAATACTTGGTTTTCATCAGCCAAAGACTAAAATAATCAGGCCAGCTTACTTGGTGCAGCTAGACTTTACTTCAGATACTTCTTGATGGCTATCACGTTCTGCTGCTGTCTGCATAATCTGCTTGCTTCATCTTTTCCTCTTTATTAATCAAGCTCCATCCAGCGGTCTTATTACATTAGTGTGGAAAAGGTGGCGGGGGGGGGGGGAGTCAGAGCTTGGGAGCTATAAAACATTCCCTTCCATTTGGCTGAGGCTGTGGCATTGCCCAAATGAAGTAGGTGAATTAATAAGGCCTGGAGCAGATGGCTGAGCCCGTAGGCTGGAAAGCTGATAGTCTCGGAGCACTTATCCTAGAAGCTCTCTGGATCTCTTCAACCCATATTCAGAAAATAACTGTTTTTTTTTAAAAAAAAACTAAGACACTCTTCATTCTGCAGGGGAAATGGAAATTATCCTTAATGCTGCTATCTCTGTATTGGGATAAATGTTAATAAGCAAGTCTTAAAAAATAAAGCTGGCAAACATCAGAGCATCCCTTGTTCTTTGGCTCACTGGCCATGCTGTGTGCCTTTTATTCACATTTCTTTCTCCCTTTCCCCTTTTAAGATTCTGGCACATTGAACGTCCAGTATCCAGCAGAATACAGAAGATTCATTTTTATATATCAGAACAAGGGCCACAAAAGCACCACACATGTTGGTTCTTAGTCAAGAGAGCAATGACTTCTTCTTTAGTTTTCAAAGAGACAGAGGGAAATTGGATGCTGGTTTCCTGCCTAAAC